TGAAACAGAGGCCTCTCGTTCACACCTGTAGAAGGCACACTGTACATGTATACTGGCGTGTGGGCGGCTACTGGCACGGTTTAAGATCGAGTGAACCCTAAATCCTAATAGAGCCCAACCCAGGTAACGTAACCTAACCCAACCTAACCCAATCATTGCTGGTATGCTGTGTTAACCCGACAGATCAGGGGCTTGGGGACTTATTTCAGAACTTACCGTAGAAGAACTCTCCCCCCTCCTCCATCGAGCAGGTTTAGACGCTGGGTGGCCCTCTGAGGAAGAATTACTACTGCAGGTGCGCCAACCCCCCTACCCGTGCACCACATCCCCACCATTACTGTCACCTTCACCCACACCCCTAAGACCTTCCCCCCCTCTACCACCGGGAAGACGAGGGGTTTACTACCATCACCACTCACCAATAAATATCACCAAATACCACCAGCAACCAACACCAGCACTACCACCATCCATTATCACCATAAGAACATAATAATGGAGGAAACTGCAGCGGGAATATTGGTCCATACTGGGCAGTTCCATTTACACCCTACCCCTATCGCTCATATATCCATCCAACCTATGTTTGAAGCTATCCAGCGTATTCCAGTTAATGATGTCGTTTGGTAACTTGTTTCACTCATCCACTACTGTATTTCCAAACCAATGTTTACCTATTTCGCGCCAAAATCTAAATTTGTCTAATTTAAAACCATTGTTACGAGTTCGCTCCTGGTTGGATAGTTTGAGTACCTTGTAATGTCCCCTTTGTTTAGCCCTGACTTCCATTTATACACCTCTATCATATCGCCCCTCACTCTACGTCTCTCGCGAGGGAGTGCAAATTAAGATGCTTAAACCTGTCTCTGTACTCAAGGTTCCTAATGCCCGGGATTAGTCTTGTCATTCTCCTACCACCAACCACTATCACCACCATCAACCACCATTATCACCTCCATACTACTCCGATTACCTATCACTTCCATTCCCTGCCAGGTCATCCAGTCTACCCTCTACCAGCCAGGTCAACCAGTCAAGTCTACTAGCCTGGTCAGGTCACTTTCAGCCAGTTCGGTCAAGCACCCACAGGAAAGACAGGATATCCTAACACTATATCCTGTCAGATACCGTCGGTGGCCCTTGCGCTATATCCCATTCATATCACGTGAAGATTAGGCACCCAAGCTTACTTCACCAGAGGAAAACCCTAACCTAACCCCCAATTAGAGTTAGGGTGTCTAACCTTCAGGTGAAATAAGCTGGGTGTGTCTAATTATCAGGTGAAATAAGCTGGGGGTGTCTAATTATCAGGTGAAATAAGCTGGGTGTGTCTAATTATCAGGTGAAATAAGCTGGGGTGTGTCTAATCTTCAGTTGAAATAAGCTGGGGTGTGTCTAATTATCAGTTGAAATAAGCTGGGGGTGTCATCATATTTCCCGAATAAAGGAATTAAAAGGACACTACTTAAGGAATAATAATAATAATAATAATAATAATAATAATAATAATAATAATAATAATAATAATAAATCAATAATTATGAAAATATTAAATGAGACGAAACAAGGACAACAACAACAATAACATCATAAACCATAATAACAAAAACAACAATAATAATAATAGTAAAATAATAACAATAATAACAACAAGCTGAACAAAAAACAATAACACGAACATGAACAATAATAATAACAACTAGAAGAACAAAAGGACAAAAACAAGAACAATAATAACAACAACAATAATAATAGTAATAATAATAATAACAATAACAACAAGCCGAACAAAAGAACAACAACAATAATAACAGCAACAACCATAATAACAATAACAACAAGTACAACAACAACAATAATAATAACAGCAACAAGAAGACAACGAGTACAGTACGTGACCAAAACCAAGACTGAGAGAAACGTCAGTCCTGAACCGCGAAAACCCTGTATAAAAGATGACACGAAATAACAAGGAAAAAACTACGCTAGAAAAAATAACTACCCCCTCCCCTCCCCTCCCCCCCACTACAGGTTATTTTATCAGCTGTTTGAACTCTCTAACCTAACCCAACGTAACCTACTTAACTCTAACCTAACCTATTTTGACCTAACTTAACGCTAACCTAACCTAGCCTAACTTAACCTACGCTAACCTAACCTACCACACACACACACACACACACACACACACACACACACACAAATATACTTTAGTGCTTTTAAATGTGACCAACACAGATTATTTACCCAATATGCCTTCTTAAATTGACATCCATATTTTTGTTTTATTCAATCTGAAGACAAAAATTATTTCCCAATTAATAATAATAATAATAATAATAATAATAATAATAATAATAATAATAATAATAATAATAATAATAATCGTCTCCCCTTAAGCAAGCAAGTGTTGATCAGCGTGTCGCATGGTGTGGAGGGGTAGTGAAGGCCCTGGCACAAACTACAGGGTGGTGTTGCTCCTCTCTCTCACCTCTCCCTTCCCTAGACACTAGCAAAACACCTCTGTCTTACGTAATACACGCTGGCGATATTATATGGCGAGGAGGTTGGCAGGCACTTTGCTTTTACATCACTCTGATCTGATGCTGTCTTGGCACTCTATTGGCACTGTGCCTGCTGGGGTGCCACTTCCACTTGCCTCCACCCCTTACCACCTCCTTTTCTTCTTAGCTTTCTTCTTCTCCTCTCTCTCTCTCTCTCACTACCACCTACAACCACCACTCAATCCCAGTGCTTCTCCTCTCCTCAGTGTTACTTCCTTCACCACCATGCTCCATACACCCCCTACCTGACCCGCAGTACCTCTCCACTACCCCCCCTACCTATTATAGTACCTCTCCCTACCCCCCTACCTATTATAGTACCTCTCCCACTACCCCCCCTACCTATTATAGTACCTCTCCCACTACCCCCCCCCTCCAAACAATGGCTCTCTCGACAGCGCCTCTAAGTCAGTATGTAACCCGCTATAGTGCACCACATACCCGCCATCACCTCCCTATAACACGGCTTGTATCACCTGGAGGCCAAGGCAGTACCTGTACGTTACTGACCTCCTGTGGGAACCTCCTGTACCTGTACTCTTTACTTATATTTGTACTGCCACTTCTGAATACACTTTACTTTACCGTTACCACAAGGAGATCAATTTATCCCATACCTGTACTTCGTAATAAACTAAATCTGTTCTTGTCTTGATATTTCTCAATTAACTTTATATCATGTCAACCTATGAAAAAAATATTGTAGACCTGTACATAATCTTGCCTAAGCCTCAAGCTATTTTGGTGCTTTGGAGTAAACTTCGTACATATTAACCTGAAACTCCTTCCCCAGAGTGCCAAGACGTCAGTACAGTGCCAGGTTCCTCCCCCGCCCCCAACAGACAGACGGCAGGAGGTGGCCGCCACCGCCGCCAAGGCCCGCCATACAAAACTGGCGTAAGTATAACTAGGGTTGGCAGAGTGCCCACCTACCCCCCCCCCCCCCTAACACCTACCCTCCTCCTCCCTCTTTAACACCTTCCTAACACCTACCCCTCCTCCCTCCCTCCTTAACACCTTCCTAACACCTACCCCTCCTCCCTCCCTCCTTAACACCTTCCCTAACACCTACCCTCCCTCCCTCCCTCCCTCCTTTAACACCTCCCGTCACTCTTTCCCTCCCTAACGCCCACCATCCCTCACACCTGTTACTGATGCCACCAACCCCATTCACGCCTCTACGCCCACACTAACTACCATTATCACTACTACTATTACCGCCCCACTACCAACACCATCACAACTACTGCCACCACCACAACAACCACAACACCGGTATCATTACCACTACTGTACACCGCTATCATAACAACGACAATTCTGATGCAACAACCACTATTAAAAAAAAAACTGATTCCACTTCACTGATAGCGGCGTCACCACCACCACCACAATCGTCCACATCTCTGAGAAATAAATCATATTCATAATCAATGGGAGAGAGGAGAAAAAAACTAAGAATTTACTCCCTATATTAATGTCTCACTTGCTGGGAAAAAAAAAACTCCCTCACTGCCAAAAAGAAAACGTATCCATCACTAAAGTCAAGAAAGGCAATCACTATGGGGGAGGGGTGGTTTGGGGGAGGGAAGCAAGAGGGGAAGTGGCGGGGGGAATAGGGGAAGGGGTTTACACCAGACTGACTGACAAAGAGGCTGAAAGTGGCACAAGTTGAAGGGGACACAAGTTGAAGGGGACACAAGTTGAAGGACACAAGTTGAAGGGGGACACAAGTTGGGAAGGGGGACACAAGTTGAAGGACACAAGTTGAAGGGGACATGTTGAAGGGGACACAAGCTGGAAGGGGACACAAGCTGAAGGGGACACAAGTTGAAGGGGACACAAGTTGAAGGGGGACACAAGTTGAAGGGGGACACAAGTTGAAGGAGGACACAAGTTGAAGGGGGACACAAGTTGAAGGGGACACAAGTTGAAGGGGGACACAAGTTGAAGGAGGACACAAGTTGAAAGGGAAGAGGCCAAGGTTGGAATAGGATCTCTAATATGTCAAGGCTGGAGACTTACCTTTAATTAACATGCCACCACAGTTGTCGGGGGTAGAGGGGAACCAAAAGAGGACTGAACACTTCACTGTTGACAAGGCTACTCACGGTAGAGGTGGGGCGGGGCGAGGTGAATTTGGTGGTTAGATAAGATGAAAGTCCTGATTAGATACGGCAAGACACTACTATACTATATAACTGTTACCTGCATTACGAAGATAGAACATAATGCCCGTGTGAAGGAGGGAGGGAGGAAGGGTGTGGGAGTCCCCTACTTCAGGCATAAAGACCACAGGTACAGTGGTAATGCTAAAGTTGGTGCAGCAGACAAACGACGGAACACTTTATATTGGAATGGGTTAGACCACTGCACTGGGTACCACAGGGAACTCCCATCACGCGGCAGGAGGCGGACAAGAGAGGCAGAACTTACCTGTGTCAGTTTCCTTGGTGACTTCCTGCAGCTCGTGAAGGGGGATGAGCGCCACCCCGTTGGACAGTCGCTGACGCATCTTGGACATCTGCTGACGAACGGCGCCGTAGATTCCAGGCTTCGGGCCACCACACCCACTCTCACCACTTTCCTCTTACACCTCTTTGATCACTCTCACGGCTGGTGATGATTAGTTATAAGTCTCCCCGGCAGTCACCTAAGTCACCAGGACCACCTCTGTATCACCTCTCACCACCCGGGCTCGTAATTCCATCGTGTAAACACATGACCAACGTGTATTAAGCCTCACTCAGGTACTGTGGGCTATCGTGTATCACATGTTGCAGGTGGATACGTGAGGCGGAGACACCTGCCCGGGGGAGGTAAGGAAGGTCGGTCTCAGTATGACAAGTGATGGGGGAGAGACAGTTGCTTGTCTCCTCGCAGCCTGCACCACCTAGCAGTCCGTCACACAGTTAGCAAGATGTGTGAGAGGTTCTCAGGCCAGTATGGAAAAGTGACATATGACTCACCACTTGGAGCCAGCAGTCTCACTCATCACATGACTCACTTCTCAACACAGCAGTGAACACTTTTTTTCATGTATCTTTACTGAGGAAAATAATTGTCATACGTGACACTTGACACCACTGAGACACTCCACAACACCACAATATCTTACCACGCGGTTTTACTGATGACTACACTCGTGGCATGACACACACACACAGACTCATGAGTGTCAACACTGACTGACGACACAAACTCCGGCTACCCACACCAACATCCACTCCCTCGTCCCCTTGTGTATATATACCGAGTGTATATATACTTCAGGTCCGCTTGTGCTGTTCTTGCACAGATTTTAAGTTTATTGCATGACAAACGTGGATGTCAGGATGTTGCTCTTCAGCACTTGAATATAAGAATTCACTGAAAATCCTGTAATGGTAACAAACACACAACACTGTTAAAATCAAGAACACTTCGTTTACCACAATTTTATCAAACGGGGGAAAAAGACTGTCGCGTCGTGTTGACAGCCCCACTGACCTTGACACATCCTTCTCCACTACCAAGGGTCGTCTCTTCGTCTTTACTGTCAACATTTTCAGGCTAGAATTTTTGAGTGACTATTTAACAGCAGTCATTGTGTGCTGCATTACTTTATGCTGTACAGTATACAAATACACCGTATCCGTACCTCCCTAATGGTACTACCTGTATACGCTCACTACCTCCCTAATGGCACTACCTGTATACGCTCACTACCTCCCTAATGGCACTACCTGTATACGCTCACTACCTAATGGCCCTAACTATGTATACGTTCACTAATGGTACCTACCTGTATACGCTCACTACCTCCCTAATGGCACTACCTGTATACGCTCACTACCTCCCTAATGGCACTACCTGTATACGCTCACTACCTCCCGAATGGCACTACCTGTATACGCTCACTACCTCCCGAATGGCACTACCTGTATACGCGCACTACCACCTAATTGGCACTCTTGTCTCCCTCTATATACAGTGCCTCCCATGAGGCACTCTCTCGCCCTTTAAGCACTACCACCCAACTGGCATCGTCTGGCACCCGCAAGACACAGCATCAACCCTGCGAGCGACTGGTACAAACCTCCCAGTACCAGTGTGTCCCCAGTGCCACCATCTGGCCAGTGGCACCATTGTCGTCGTCACTGTCTGGCACTGTGCAGATGGGTATGGTCCCCCCTCCACAGCACACATTGTGGGAAGCTCCGCCGACACACACACACACCAGCTGCCCTCCAAGGTTTTTTCTTAACTCTCGGGTTCTTTGTTTTCACAGGATCAGTTGTTGTCTTACAGGACCAGAGAGACAGTGTTGTTATCAGTGGTCTGAGGGTGATCACTGCCACACTGGGAAACACGTCAACACGGGTCGGGATTTTCAAAGGTGTGTTAGGGTTCACCTTTCCTCGTGACTAACTTGTGGTGTAAGAACGAACCTAACTGACGAACTCAAGCTTAAAACACAAAAATAGAATCCAAAGTGACAAAAAATAGAATCCAAAATGATAAAAACAGAATAAAAAATAAACACAGAATCAATGAGAAAACCGACTACACGTTAATAATACACCCCACCCCCCCTTAAGGTACCAATTACAGGTATAAGGTGAACGAATTAACGCCGAACCTCGAGTAAAATTATAATACCAATTTCGACGGCATTTTTCTTTTTCTGGTGCGTGAAGCGTAAGTCGACCACCGTAAGACATTTTTATTACACCAGTTATAAGGAAAATGTCGACGCTAACAGGATCTCTTAGAATTATGACTCTACACTGGTGAGGAAATTCGAACAATGACGCAAGAGGCTTCAGTGTCCAGAAATAGACATGCGTATATAGATGTCCCTAATCAGTGTCCAGAAATAGACATGCGTATATAGATGTCCCTAATCAGTGTCCAGAAATAGACATGCGTATATAGATGTCCCTAATCAGTGTCCAGAAATAGACATGCGTATATAGATCTCCCTAATCAGTGTCCAGAAATAGACATGCGTATATAGATCTCCGTAATCAGTGTCCAGAAATATAATTTAAAACAAAAATATTTCCTAAAGTGTCCAGAAACGTACAAGACAAAGATTCTAGAAAACAACTGGGGGAAAAAAAAGACGTACAGGCAGGACCAAAATTCCCTGAACACAACTGAGTCACTAAAAGCTTAATTAAGAAAGACCAAAAGCTTAATCTGCATCAGCAATCAAAAGGCTTGACATACAAAGAAAAATTATACCAAAAGCGAAACTGAGCCGCCAAAAAGATTAAACTAAAACACACACAAAAAAAGGTTAAACTTACACACCAAAAAAGCTTAAATTCAGATACAAAAGTCGTAAATTGGGAGAGAAAAAAAGCTTAAACCAAAAGCTTAATTTGAAACAACCAAAACCTTCAATAAAAATACACCAAAAAGTTTAAACCAAAAAGGACACCAAAAAGCTTAAATCGAAACATCCAAAAGCTTGAACCAAAAACTACACAAAAAACTTATAAATTGAGACACCAAAAAACTTAAACTAAGACACCAAAAAAGCTTAAACTAAGACCCCAAAAAGCTTAAACTAAGACCCCCAAAAAGCTTAAACTAAGACCCCCAAAAATCTTAAACTGACACCAAAAAAGCTTAAACTGAGACCCCAAAAAGTTCAAACAAACCCCCAAAACCTTAAACTGAGACACCTAAAACCTTAAACGAAAAAAAAAAACTTTAAATCGAGACCCCCAAAAAGCTTAAACTGAAACCTCAAAAAGCTTAAACCGAGACCTCCAAAATGAAAAGCGAGAGGGAATGTGGTATACAACCAGAGAACAACGACCAACCCCCCATGACTGGCCGATGTGACACCTGACATGGAGTGTGTAGTGTTAAGAATTGCAGAAGCGGTGGTGGCGGTGGTGGTGGTAGAGACGCCTGGAAGGTGAGTGTCCGCGCAGGGTGTGGTCGTGTTGCGCAGGGTGTGGTCAGTGGTGGTGATAGGTTGTTGTTATTTGTTGTTGTTGGTGGTGGTGGTGGTGGTGGCGAGCGGTAGTGGTGATGATAATAGTGGTGGTGATGGTAGTAGCGAAAGTGGTGGTGGTGGTAGTGGTGAAGGTGAAGGTGGTAGTAGTGGTGAAGATGGTAGTAGTAGTGACAGTGGTGGTGGAGGTAGTGGTGGTGGAGGTAGTAGTGGTGAAGGTAGTAGTAGTAGTGACAGTGGTGATGGAGGTAGTGGTGGTGGAGGTAGTAGTGGTGAAGGTGGTAGTAGTAGTAACAGTGGTGGTGGAGGTAGTGGTGGTGGTGATAGTGGTGGCGATGGTGGTTGTCTATGCAGGTTGTTATAGTCTTGAAGGTCTTGTGACGTGTTGTGTGGTGTTGGTGAAAATACTATTGCTAACCACTCTAGACCATTCTTTACTATACCACCCATCCCTAACCATCCCTAACCACCCCTGCCATCCCTAACCACCCTCACCATCCCTAACCACCCTCACCATCCCTACCCACGCCCACCATCCCTCACCACCGTAAAACTGTACCCAAATGCGAAGTCACTGCAAAATTACGTAGCCAGAGTGTCGTCCCAATCGTCCATCACGGCGGCTTGGCGAATCTTACTGTCCATTTTCTACTGAGTTATTTCATCCCCACGGTAATGGCTCATATCTCGGGCTCATAAATGATATATTCTTTAGAACCTGCGTGTATGTATGTATGTATGTATGTATGTATGTATGTATGTATGTATGTAAATCAAGACGTTCACAATGCCTCCATGGACCCTAACAAAAAATATATATATCAACGTCACGTCAAATTTGAACTCTTTGAATTTCACACCGGCACAAAAATATAGCCACTGTGTTGGGACTCCAGAAATAGTACCCTGCAACTTTGAACTGCCGACATAACCCTTTTTAAACCCCTGGGAGAGACCAGAGGAGGAGGTTCTATTTGAGGCAAGTGGACAAGGTTCTGACAAAGGATTCTTGGTCACCCTGCAGATAGATAGATAGATAGATAGATAGATAGATAGATAGATAAATAGATAAAGTAAATTAGACATACATGTTACCGTTGGTTCAGCATGAGTACTGACAGTGTGGAATACAATGACAAACAACGAGAGAGAGAGAGAGAGAGAGAGAGAGAGAGAGATGGTACAGGTAAAAAAAAAGGAAGAGGAAGAACCGTAAAAAGGAAGTGAGGAGGTATGGGTGAGAAGGGGATGTACCCAAGGCCGCGACACGACCCTGGATAATTATCTGGGATCCACACACACACACACACACACACACACACACACACACACACCACGGCTGCTAGTATGGGTGCGGGAGAGGAGACGGGCGCCACCACAATCACCACCACTATCACCGCTGTCATCACTACCACCATCCACTACCAACATCAGTACCACTACCACCACCACCACCACCGCCATTACTATCACCACCACCATCATCAATATTATCATTAACACTACTATCACCATCATTACTACCACCATCACAATCAGTAGCAGCAAAATCAGAAAGCCCTTGTGTACCCCGTGTTCAAGGCGGCACCATCTACCACACTACCGCAGTACACTACCAGCAGCGGCAGTAGCAACAGCCCCTATGTACGCCAGGGAGAGGTAGGGAGGCAGAGGTCGGCGTCACCCGGCAGCGGCCTCGCCTCACAACACCACAACACAACACACGCCGCTATACGGTTGAACTAGGAAGTGACTCTTGCCCGCCACGCCCGCCACCAGATTACAGGGCCGCTTCGCTCCTGCAGGCCTTTACATATACACGCAAAGGCAAACACAATTACACAGGTTAATACACACACACACACACACACACAGGACAAATACACAAAGACATAGGCATACACACACACACAGACCAGGACAAACACATACACACACACACATCAGGTTATCCATGAGGACTCCTGATAAGAGAACAGAGGAAGACACGCAAGATTATTCTCTCCCTCTCTTACACCACATACTAAGAGCCGCTTAGTACACTGACCCTCTCAACACCCTCTGATCATCACCAAGGCCCATAGCCAGCCAATCCAACCACGTACTGATCACTATAAGAACAACTACGTGACCCACCATTCCAACCCTTGTAAAAAAAAAATCATCAACACTTAAATTACTTGCAGGTTCATCTCTTGTCAATCTCACTTTTGTGTTCTGTAACTATGCTGAAATTCTTTGTGAAATGACCCTCCCCTTCTCATGTTATTTGTACGTATTCAGCTTATGACTACTGTATTCGTCGACTCGCATCACTATCATCATCACCATCCATACAACGTGACTGGTGGTAAACTCAACCATCATTCAGCTGACGTAACCTTAACACTATAACCCAGTGCGTTAAGTTATAAATATTTGCACT